GGGTATAGGGGCTGGAGGAGGTGACAGAGATAGGGAGGGGGTGTAGGGGGGGTGAATGAGGTGACAGAGATAGAGGAAGATTTGAATTGAGCAGTAACACACAGGATCAATACTATCGTTGTAAATCAGTGCCGAGTTGGAATGGACTGAACACATTCATGAGTCTCACTGGTCACTGAAGCTTGTAATAAGTTTTGGAAAGCAGTCAACCACATTACCCTCCCAGGGCACTCAGACATGACTCCCTCTCATCTCTCGCCAATACCACCCAGAAAATTACCCTCTCCCAGCTCAGTCCATCTGTGCTGCCAGCTAATCTCCTGTAGTGAAACATAGACTCTCACCACACAAGTGGAAGACACCCCTGGGATCTGACCAATGTCTTGTATAATTTTAACAAAACCTCCCTGTTTTTACATTCTATTCCCTTTGTAAACTTATCACAGTTGATCCCAGCCGGGATCAGACGAAAGCCTCAAACAGTTTTTGCAAAAACCTTCCAATTTGTGAACACCCGTTGAAAGAAAGGCCGGGAGTCAGGACTGTGGGGAATTGCAATCATTTCCAGCCTGTCTGACAGTGTGAAGCAGACCAGACCGAGGAAGAGTCACCGGACCCGAAACGTTAACTCTGATTTTCCTTTTTTCTTCTTCCCAGATGCCGCCAGATCTGCTGAGCTTTTCCAGCAACTTCTGTTTTTGAGGCTGATGAGAAGGCAGATCACCTCATAATGTCACTGAACTCTCTGCCAAGAACCTGGTTGTGGTTATACAGTTTAGTGTTTCTCTATGCTATTCACATGACCCTGTGAGCTATTTGTATCCACAAGCTGCCAACAGGCCACATTTCAGGCTTTTATTCTGCCAGACGTCCTCTCTCCGTCGCTTGAACAGTTGGTCCTCACACCCCAACCCTCCTACAGTCTGACCACCACATGCTGCCCGTTACTCTCTCAACCTCCCCCATCTCTGCTGCCTCAGCTCCTCAATCAGGTATCTCTCTCCCCTTCCCTCTCCCACACACACTGCCTGTCTAGGTCCGAAACGTCAGCCTTCCTGCTCCTCTGATGCTGCTTGGCCTGCTGTGTTCATCCAGCTCTACACCTTGTTATTGTCAGATTCTCCAGCATCTGCAATTCCTGCTACCTCTGCCTCACTCTGTGTTTACCAGTCAGCCCTGGGAGCTGAAAACGCCCTAAGCTGTTTGCCTTCCACACTATTTTATTCCGAACTGATAACCCGAAATTTAAAAGGGTGTGGTGCGAAAACATCTCCCAAGGTAAAACTTGTTTGCACAGGAATGAAACTAGGGCCGAAACAATCCTCTCGTAGTAGGAACTAACTCGTGATTGAGCTCTGGTCTCGCCCCCTGGTTCATTTCAGGAAGCCTGGTCAGCTGACTGCTCCGAAAGTTCTTTCTGATTGTTACGTTGTGCCGCTGGGTTCTGTTCGATTGTTACGTTGTGCCGCTGGGTTCTGTTCGATTGTTACGTTGTGCCGCTGGGTTCTGTTCGATTGTTACATTGTGTCTCAGGATTCTGTTTGATGGTTACAATGTGTCTCAGGGTTCTGTTTAATTGTTACATTGTGTCCCTGGGTTCGACTCGATTGTTACATTGTGTCTCCGCGTTCTAATCCATTGTTACGTCGCGTCTCCGAGTTCCAAGCCTCTCCAGTCCCCGGGAGACTCCTGGATCAAAGGCGGACGCCGAATGGAAGAGGATGCTGAGCAAGTGTAAGTTGCAAGCTCCCGGTCGAATATCTTCCGTCTCGCTCTTTCCAGTTCCGGAGCAAAGTCGTCTCCTGGGTCCACAAATGGTCCTCCATACGCTGCCTTCCCCCAGACGCCCTTCATTCATTGTACACACCACGTCCTCCCAAAACACACACCTCCTCCCAAAACACACCTGCTCTTTTCAGCCAACTCCCCTCTTTCGCCCCTTTCCCCCCTCCCACCTCCAACTCAGCTCAATGTCCTGTGGGCTCCCTCTCGGTCTACCTGCCCAAACACTCAATAGATTCGGGGATGATTGTTTCAATTTGGAAGGGAGGGAGCCAGCAAGCAGGAAACTGCAGGCCGATTAGCTTAAGGTTTGTCACAGGGAGAACTTTAGAAGCCGTTAGACTGTAATAACAGGGCATTTGAATGAGTTCAAGACAATCAGGCAGAACCAACCTGGTTTTATCAAAGTGTAAACATGTTTCATTAATTTATTGGAATCTTTTGAAGAAGGAACTTGTGCTTTGGATAACGGGGAACCCGTACATGTTATGTATTTAGATTTCCAGAAGACATTTGATAAGGTGCCCTTTCAAAGGTTATTGCAGAATAAAAGGCTGATGGTGTGGGGGCCAGTATCATGTTGGCATAGGTATAAGATTGGCTGGCAAACAGGAAGTGGCAAGAAGGTCTTTTTCAGGCTGGCAGGATGGCTTAGTAGTTGGCACTGCTGCCTCATAGCACCAGGGTCCTGGGTTCAATTCCACCCTCGGGCGACTGTTTGTGTGGAGTTTGCTCATTCTCCCCATGTCTGTGTGGGTTTCCTCCAGGTGCTCCAGTTTCCTCCCACAGTCCAAAGATGTGCAGGTTAGGGTGGATTGGCCATGCTAAATTGGCCTTAGTGTTCAGGGATGTGTAGATTAGGGGACTGGGCCTGGGTGGGATGCTGTGAGGGTTGGTGTGGACTTGTTGGGCCGAAGGACCTGTTTCCACACTGTAGGGATTCTATGATAATGTCACGAGTCATTTAAAAGTAAGAGGGCACCCATTTAAAACTGAGATCTTTTCTCTCAGAGGGTTGTGAGTCTTTGAAAGACCCTCCCTCAAAAAGACAGTGGATGCAGAATTTCTCAGTAGTTTTAAGACAGAGTTAGATTGTCAATTACTGAGGGGGCTATGCAGGAATACAGAGCTGAAGTGATCCATAGCTGATTTGATTGAATGCGAGAGCAGGGATCACAGGCCAAGTGGTCTACGCTTGTTCTTTCTTTGACCATCCATGCACACAGACCACACTAACTTATTTCCTTTGTTCATTCACGGGATGAAGGCATTGCTGGCTAGGCAGCATTCATTACCCATCCTTAATTGCCCAGAGGCATTTAGAGTCAACCACAGTGCTGTGGGACAGGAATCACACATAGGCCAGACCAGGTAAGGATGGCAGTTTCCTTTCCTAAAGGACATTAGTGAGCCAGATGGGTTTTTCCTGACAATTGACAATGGATTCACAGATTCTTTATCATTAGATTCTTAACTCCAGATATTTATTGAATTCAAATTCCACTGGTGGGATTTGAACCCAGGTCCCCAGAACATTACCTGGCTCTCTGGATTAACAATCCAGCGATAATACCACTAGGCCATTACCTCCCCAGTGTCATTTAATAAAAATGATTTCAAGCCCAATTCCTGTTATGTTCTCACCGGGTCTAATCAGTAATTTTATTTTTAATGTCAATTTCTCGGCAGTTTGAAATGTGGGTTTTAGGGTTAATTCCTTCCTGAAAAAGTTCCCCGGTTTAGCAGGTATTTTTCAGTTTCTGTTCTCTTTTTCTGTCACTTCTCGTCAGCTGTTTTACGTCTGTGTGTGTGCGTGTGTCTGTGTGTATATGTATAATATATATATCAGTTAGAGTGGGAATTTTTCAAACCAGGTCTGTGGTCATAGAGCCATACAGCATAGAAACAGACCCTTCAGTCCAACAAAACCAGTCCCACCTGCCTGCATTTAGCCCATATCTCTCCACACGTTTTGTATTCATACACCTATTCAAATGTCTTTTAAATGTTATAACTGTACCCACATCCATCACTTCCTCTGGAAGTTCATTCCACACACGAACCGCTCTCTGTGTTTTAAAAAAAAAGTTGTCCCTCGTGTCTTTTTTAAATCTTTCTCCTCTCACCTTAAAAATGTACCCCCTCATTCTGAACTCACCCACCTTGGGGAAAGACCCTTATCTTTCACCTTATCTATACCCCTCATGATTTTGTAAACCTCTATAAGGTCACCCCTCAGCCTCCTATGCTCCAGGTAAAAAAAATTCCCAGCCTATCCATCCTCTCCTTGTAACTCAAACCCTCCATTCCCGGCAACATCCTGGTAAATCTTTTCTGAACCCTCTCCAGTTTAATAATATCCTTCCTATAACGGGGTGACCAGAACTGGACACAGTTCTCCAGAAGAGGCCTCTCCAACGTCCTGTACAACCTCAACGTGACATCCCCAACTCCGATACTCAAAGGGCTGAGCAATGAAGGCAAAGTGTGTTAAACACCTCCTTACCCACACTGTCTACCTGTGGCACAAACATCAGAGAACTATGTACCTGAACCACAAGGTCCCTCTGTCCTACAGCATTACCCAGGGCCCCGCCATTAACTGTATAAGCCCTGCCTTTGTCTGTTTTACCAAAATGCAACACCTCGCGTTTCTCCAAATTAAACTCCATCTTTCATTCTTCAGCCCATTGACTCAATTGATTGAAATCTCTTTGTCATCTTAGATGACCTTCTTCCCTGAGCACTGAACCACCAATCTTGCTGTCATCCTATATTCTCGTCTAAACCATTTATATAAGTGACAAACAAAAGCAGACCTAGCACCAATCCCTGTGGAAAACAGGCCTGCAATCTGAAAAACAACCTTCCACCACCACCCTCTGCCTCCTGCCATTAAGCCAATTCTGTATCGAGTTGGCAAGCTCACCGTGAATCCCATGTGATCTCACATTACTAACCAGTCTACCGTGTTAAAACCTTGTGAAGAGAGGCTTGGGGAAGCGGAAATCCTGATCTAATTGCTAAGTTACGAAGGAGTTGTGTTCGCTTAAGAATGTTTGTCTCACTGACTTTGGTGAGGGGCCTGGATGGAGTGAATGTGGAGAAGATGTTTCCATGAGTAGGAGACACCAGGAGTTGAGGGCACAGCCTCAGGGTGAGGGGAGGGTGCGATCC